GAAGAATTCTACGTGCAAGCAATTATTAACGAATGCGCAAACCTTGAAATTCTCATCCGGAAATTTCGGTCCGTAAATTGATTTGCCACCTGTCCCGTCGCCTCTCGTAAAATCTCCGCCCTGTATCATGAACCGTGGGATTATACGATGGATAACTGATCCTAAAGAATTGAGAAAACTGGATAAATCACGCATATAAAAACAGAAAAAAAAAAAAAACAATGCCAGCGTTGGCCAGATATGATTCTACAGACTGTAGCTGAATTTGAAAGCAACCAATACCTTCATAACCAAATCCTTTTTCTCCCGTACAAAGCTGTCTGAAGTTCTCGGCTGTTTTCGGTACCACATCAGACCGCAATTCGATTACTATCCTTCCTATATACCTGCAAATAATCCACCATCAGAAGTCAAATTTGATGTCGACGAGTCGAAACCAGCCACAGAGGTAGCAAGAGCAGGCACACGTCGGCACAGTCGTCAACGGTTCCTTCTTTCGAAGAGTACTTACAAACAAGCTGATGATGACGATGCTGGTGCACTAACAAGCTTCGCTGTTACAGATGGAAGGCACTACGGCATCATGACAGTTTTTTCGCTTGTTCGTCACTATCAAAAAAATCTCAAATTCACGACCGTTTCACTCTAGACGAACAGATCCCGCCTTTGTTCGAAACAGGTTACAAGCCAGCACAGTAGAAAAATTAAAATCTGTTTTTGGAGCGATTCAGCCCTCAGTTGCAAAATTAAAATCGATAATTGAGGCAAAATTTAGTTATGAAATTATGAAATTAGCTCGGAATCAAGGGTCAGAAAGCAGTGGTCGCTAACGCAAATTCCAGGTCATTCGTGGCTAACTGCAAGCCCAAATATTTGAGTTCGTAGTTCGCTCCATTTTATAAAATTAGCCAAGGTCTGGGCCTGGAGTGTCAGGCCGAGAAACAGTGAACTTTAATGACCAATTTCAAAACACTTAACTCGTACAACGAAACAAACCTCATTCTGCCCAGCTACCTCCTTCCTTCTCATACCCACCCACCAACAAACGGCCTGATCAAAATACGTTTTTCGATTTGTGGGAAAAGCGCAAGAATGTCTGAAGAGAGTTCAGAAAAGATTAGCAGGAAAAAGCGCATGTGCTCCGAATTCACCTGATTCCAATTTTGATACCCAAGTATACGCGTGGAAGAGAAGGCTTCAGAATGCCAGAGGGCAATTCGTCAGAAGTGGCATCGTCCAACTCGCCACTTTCCTCTGATGTTCTTGCGCCGGTCCCATACTGAAACGTTTTTCCAGTTACTGATTTACGCAACGAAACGTTCAATTTTTCTAAAAAAATGTTATGCGCTCGTATCCTTTAAAGCTTTTCAGAAGCGACCTTCACTCCAAACAACCAGAACAGTGATATACAAAACAAATATGGTAGACATTGGTTCAACCCAGGCTGGAACGTACCAGGCGCGCCGATTCGATTATACGTTTTCGCACTTTTCGTACCGTAGCAAGGTCGCAAGGAATCACAGTAGCTAACCCCATGACATACTGGCCCTTGAAGTTCGGGAAGTTAGTTGTGTAGCTATATGGTATGCCAGTTGTATATGTCGAAGTTCAGTGACCCGATAAATGAAAAGTTGCTGGTCCACGAAAAAGGCCGCACTAGAAGAGTTAAATTAGAAATCTTTTAGTCGCACATGAGTAGGGAACATTTCCTTAAAATAAAAGCCTTCAGCTTTTCCCGTTCCCGAGTTAGCAGTTTTCCCATGAAAACCTTCACGTGTCCGTACGTGAGCACCGGACGGTTTTAAAGAGCTGAATTTGAAATCTTTTTGTCATGCACGAGTAGGGAACATCACCGTATGTTTTCAGCTTTCTAGCTTTTCTCGTTCCCAAGTTATCAATTTTCTCGCCAAAACTTTCACGTGCTCATACGTGGGGCCCAGACGTACGCGAGCGTTGACACCGCGGTCCTGGGGCGATACTTGGCTGGGAGACATAGTGGCAAAATTTCAGCCCCAAAGTTTGCGTGGTTGAAATACCCGGACAGACGAACACACATACACACACAAACACACTGACAGGGTCGTTGCATTATACGTTTTTACTGCCTGTTGCAGCGCTCTATCGCTGCACGACAAAAACGGATAAAAATCAAACGAAAAAACATGCAGACATTAACTAATACCACAAAAGCACTCTATGCTCATTTCAGGGCTCCTCCGAAGGGTGGAAGGCAAAATGCAGCCATGTTGGGCCGTCCTAAACAAACCCACGCCTGGAAAGTGCACTAACTGTTTTTAGCCATTCGTCATCAGCCCAAACAGGCCTCTGGCTTCGCTCGTTGGCTTTTGGTGGCCGTGCAAAATTACATCGAATTGTTCGCCCGAATAATTCTGAATCGTTCATATTATCGATTGCGGCGGCCGCATCCTCAGCACTCTCGTATTCAACGAACCTCAAATAACCCAGTGTACACGGCTCCTCATTTCATACACCCACGCAAAAAGAGTACTCATCTGTAGGAAGAAAACAGTAACGAATTAGGAGCGCTAGCCGAAGTGCCATGCAAAAAGAAGATTTTCGAACGAACCCAACGCCACCCAGTGATTTAAAAACCAAAAAATCACGACTGTGCAGTTCGCCAGAACAAAAGAGAGCGAGAAGGAGCTACCCGAAGCCTCGATGTTTGCCGCTTTCATAGTCCAACGGTATTGATATGCTGACAATTTCGCCGAATGGCAGAAAACCGGCTTGCAGAACCTTCTCATTGACTTCTTCGCCGAAACC